TACACCAAACAAAAAACCCATACAAAGCTGGTGTGAAGTTCTCAAGTTCATGTGTATACCGTGTATATATATATATATATAAATACACCAGCACTTAGGGCTATAAACACACACACACACATATATATATATATACATGGTCACACGCGGATATTTGCCCTTGGGTTATTTGTTGATTTTGGCATTTCTCCATGTTCAAATTTTGCAACCCTTACAGCACTTTGTGCCCTGAGTGAAAATAAATGAAAGTAGCGTTTCGCTGTGGTTTTAGCACACTCGTGTGTCATTTGCATTGGAATTTACAGGATGTTGCGGTAATTAATAATTCGAGGCTCCTGTTCGCTCAAAAGTAGTTTTCTCTCTTGCTTGTTCTGTGTGTCCCAAGTCTTCCAAGTTACATGATTTTCCCCAACTCTTTGGTCAAGTTGGCATGGTTGCCCAATTTGCTTCGCCACGCGAAGCCCCAAACATAGGGCATTAGCTTTACAGCAATGCCACCTCCAGGTCTGTCTTTGACGCGGAGAGAAGCAGGCGATGTCTTTTCAAGACTTTGCCACCAACAGTCGACACATGGTGTGCCAGCGAACGCTGCCCCAGGTTTCTTCCTGGATTTCCTGGATTTCTTCGTGTCAGAAGTTCCAAGAACATGTTAGAAGCGTAGCATCAAGAGCGTGTCAAACGTTCCAAGAACATTTTGGAAGCGTAGCATCAAGAGCGTGTCAGACGTTCCAAGAACATGTTGGAAGCGTAGCATCAAGAGTGTGTCCGACGATCCAAGAACATGTTTGAAGCCTAGCATCAAGAGCGTGTCAGAAGTTCCAAGAATATGTCAGGAGCGCAGCATCAACAGTGTGTCCGACGTTCCAAGAACATGTTAGAAGCCTAGCATCAAGAGCGTGTCAGACGTTCCAAGAACATGTTGGAAGCGTAGCATCAAGAGTGTGTCCGACGATCCAAGAACATGTTTGAAGCCTAGCATCAAGAGCGTGTCAGAAGTTCCAAGAATATGTTAGGAGCGCAGCATCAACAGTGTGTCCGACGTTCCAAGAACATGTTAGAAGCCTAGCATCAAGAGCGTGTCAGAAGTTCCAAGAACATGTTGGAAGCGTAGCATCAAGAGTGTGTCCGACGATCCAAGAACATGTTTGAAGCCTAGCATCAAGAGCGTGTCAGAAGTCCCAAGAATATGTTAGGAGCGCAGCATCAACAGTGTGTCCGACGTTCCAAGAACATGTTAGAAGCCTAGCATCAAGAGCGTGTCAGACGTTCCAAGAACATGTTGGAAGCCTAGCATCAAGAGTGTGTCCGACGATCCAAGAACATGTGTAAAGCCTAGCATCAATCAGAAGTTCCGAAGAATATGTTAGGAGCGCAGCATCAACATGCAGTGTGTCCGACGTTCCAAGAACATGTTAGAAGCCTAGCATCAAGAGCGTGTCAGAAGTTCCAATAACATGTTAGAAGCGTAGCATCAAGAGCGTGTCAGAAGTTCCAAGAACATGTTAGAAGCGTAGCATCAAGAGCGTGTCAGAGGTTCCAAGAACATGTTAGAAGCGTAGCAACAAGAGTGTGTCCGACGTTCCAAGAACATGTTAGAAGCATAGCATCAAGAGCGTGTCAGAAGTTCCAAGAACAGGTAAGGAGCGCAGCATCAAGAGCGTGTCAGAAGTTCCAATAACATGTTAGAAGCGTAGCCTCAAGAGCGTGTCAGAAGTTCCAAGAACATGTTAGGAGCGTAGCATCAATAGCGTGTCAGAAGTTCCAAGAACATGTTAGGAGTGTAGTATAGTTGAAGGTTAAAACTCTTATTCTCATTTGGGTACGACAAGGCGTAGTGCTCTACTCATTGCCTTTGAATTTGTGCCTGTGTTTTTGTTTTGGGCTGGATATTATGTGGATATAGCATGAGTATTGAGCACATTACATACACCGTCAAGGCTCAAGAGAGATATAGAGTAATCCTGTAGACGCCGCACCGACTGGTTATTGGCCGTGAGTAAAAGGTGTGTAGCTGTCTGGGAAACGCTCTAGCTGATCTAATCTAGACGCTAGTGCCCCTCTTCACCGACGCCCCCCACCTCCCCCAGAAATCCCAGAAATGTGCAAGAATGTACAAAAACGCCAAGGACGTTTATCAACGTGCCTCCAACTACACACACACATATATATATAAGATGTAGACATCGACATAATATATCCATCATAGATTAAATTGTTCGCCTCGTTACGTTTGCCAACTCACCTATCTCTTGGGGCCAGGGGAATGCAAATACGCCAGAAAAATGTCAGCATCTATCTATAACCTATAATATATAGATACTGTATATACATATATATATATATATGTATATATATATATATATGGGTATGTCTCAAAATGAGGAGTGCGGCCCGGGAAGTTTGACTAGGGGGTATGATTCGTGGGTATGATTCGGGGTATGATTCGTGGGTATGATTAGTGGGTATGATTCGCGGACCTTGATTTAGTGTTTCCCTGCATCCTCCGCGTATAGTTATTTACCCACACTTACCCCGAAAATGTTTCAACTGTTGGTAATTATACCATACGTGGAGCGCTCTGGAGCTGGCATGCTGTTGACGTGTGCGTGCTGCTGTCAGAGTGGTGTGCGCGCTTTGGAGCGGGCATCGTGGTGCCGTTGGAGTGCCGCTGCAAGGTGCTGGTGCAGGGTGTTGCTTGCTGTCAGAGTGGTGTGTACAGTTTGGAGCGATGCTGGTGGCGCTCAGGGTGCTGCTGCAGGTGCTGCCTGAGGGTGATGTTTGAAGGTGCTGCTGTCAGAGTGGTGTGTGCTGTAAACCCTGCTTTGGAGCGGGCATGCTGGTGAGCGGATGCCGGTGGAAGGTGCTGCTTGAGGGTGCTGTCGAGCTAGCTTGCTGGTGCTGCTGCAAGGGGTGATGCTTCAGGGTGCTGCAAGGAGGGTACGTACTGTACCCAACTCGTGCTGCAAGGGTGCTATGTGAAGGGCGCTGCTGCACGCTGCAGGGTGCAGCTGTTAGAGTGGCGTGTCCGCTCTGGAGCTGGCTGGTGGTGCCGCTGCAGGGTGCTGCTTCAAGGTGCTGCAGTTAAAGTGGTGTGTGTGCGCTTTGGAGTTGGCATGTTGGTGCCATTGCAGGAGCTGCAGGGTGCTGTTGTCGGATTTTTCTCAGAAGCAGCAGGAGGCGTAGTCTAGCCCGTGGCGAATGGTTACAAAGAAAAGAGCTCACAAAACACAAGTTCTGATCTTGCAAATGTACCAAGGTTCAGAATTGGGAAGTTTGGGGTATGATTCGGGTATGATTCGGGCATGATTCGGGGTATGATTCGGAAACCCCTCTTTTTTTGAATTCAGGAAGCTTTGTTGCTTGAGTCTCTTTTTCCCACCGTGAACCTACTACGATTGCTACTCAATGGCTGCAATGGCTCGACCTGCCAGACGACCTTGGACAGGACCTGAATATGAAGAATGTGAAGATTTAAATGCACATCTATGATTTATATCCGCCGGCCTGCCGGCGTCTCTTCTGGATGTTCTTCTCATGTACCTTTAGTTCAGCTACGCTTAGGCTTATGTTCCTCTTCGACGGATTTTTGGTTTGGTTGCCAGCCAGCCAGCCAGCCAGCCAGCCAGCCGCACACAGAGTCATCCCGCTCATCAGCCTCATCAGCAACACAGCAAGCAGCCAGGCACGCAGCCAGCCAGCTGCAACTAGCCAGCCCTATACCAGCAGCAGCAACTGAGCCAGCCACCTAGCCAGCCAGCCAGCCACCCAGAGCCAGCCACCCAGAGCCAGCCAGCTTAGGGATAATGATGAGACTCTGTGCGCGTGGAGAAGATTCGCCACTCCGTGAAGGTATGTGAAGGTAGCCAGGGATCATCGGGTCTGGCCAACACTGGTCAATTAGCTTGTCAGGTTCATTATAACAGGTGAGGCCAATGCAATCCCAAACGATCCCAAAAGAAACATTCATAATAATGATTTTTTGGGGTATGATTCGGGGGAATGATTCGGGGGTATGATTCGGGGGTATGATTCGCACAAATCGAACTTCCTGCCTTTACTAAAAACTGCACCCGTTAAAAAAAGACACAGCCATATATACATATTATTATATTTGTATTGTGCCTGTGCCACAGTCAAGAGTAGAGTCATCCCACTTGACAATGGAAAGTTCATGACAATGGGTTTATCAACCCCCCCAAAAAAATATTGGTTTGATGACCATCATTGACCATCCCCCCATGATGTGAAAACAATCTCTTTTTGTGACTTGACCGTGGCCACATTAATATCAGACCAGGGGACCAGATCCCGAAAATCACGACGGGGCGCGAAAGCACAACAGGATCAACAGGTTCCATGTGAAATCCTCACCAATTTGATGCCTATTCAATCTGAGAATCACCATGAAATGATGGTTAAATCACAATCTTTGATGGTTCACCAGTTCTTGTTGCGATCGAAAAAAAAAATGATGCTTGATGGAAACCATGATCATTGTTGATACTGAAATCACAAAAACTAATCATATGGAGGCTACCTAATGAAATCATCATGAAGCAAGACTGGTAGCCTGGAGTCCAGCAGGCTATCACCATGGGCCAAGGCACATCGTCACTTGCAGCCCTTTGACCTCGTACCACGGCCGCATCTGCCGCCTGGCAACGAGTTGGTGGGACATTTCCGTGCAGTGAACCATGACAAGTTGTGAGGATTTTCCATCAACAAACACAGGACACTTATGGGACATAATGGGCATATCTATATAATCAGAGATGTAATGGGATATATGATGGGATATAATGAAAGCTAATCAAGGGCTTGCGTTAACATCGTTAGCTACCAACAACCACAAATGAATTGAAGGTTAATCTTGACGACTCTTGACGATTTATTATTGGGGGGTTACCAAATCATGGGGGGCGGTTGAATCACTATGATGACTAGTTTCTATGGTGACATGCGGGACCCGGGAATCGTAATCACCACAGCCAGGTATGGATTCCCAACCACTTGGAACATCACCCCAGGAAATGCGGAGTGTAATCACCAGCCTTACAACAATCAATACGAGGATCCTCCAAGTAGTGGGATATAGCGATAGCAAGTTCTCAGTAGTTGCGGATCGGATACGTATAGACAGTAATACAGTATAAAAGTATACCATAGTATATATATATATAATTATATATACATTTGTATATATACATATATATATATATATACACATACATATAATGTGTGTATATATATATATACACAGACATTCTACAGCCGGCACAGTTAAATCGGTGTTTTCTTTTTTCTGAAAATAGGGTATACACCAAGTTGCGACAACTTTAATAGGGAAAATGATGCTTAACATGATAAACCATCGAATTTAGGGATACCTTGTTGACAGACACATGTGGAAAACTCGGTAAGAAGCCAGATGGGCCATATTTAATGACTAACCATTTCAAGTTCTTGTAAACAATCCCAAACAGGGGCAAACCCAATGTTCAGCCCAAATTTGGGATGGCGATCTGCAAACATGTATCGTCAACCTTGGCCAACGGCCAACTTTAAAAAGGGAAAAGCAAAGAATCCGTGACATCCCAAAATTGAAGGGAGCATCTGCAGGAACGCACTGTATTTCATGATTTTCATGGGAAATGATGAAAGCTTCTACCTGGGCCGTCGTATTCCCAATGGGTTAGTGAATCCTTGAAGTTAAACTATATCTGGTTGGTGGTTTCAACTCCTCTGAACAATATTAGTCAGTTGGGATTATTATCCCCAATATATGGGGAAAAAAGCCATGTTCCAAACCACCAACCAGATATAGTTTTAAATGTCCAAGTACTAAGTACCAACATGTTGGAGTAAAATACAAAATTGTGTGGATGAATTACAATTACAACTCAATTATGACATACATGACTGTATATGTGATGTTTGGTGAAGGGACACAGCTCAAGATCAACTGATTTCTGATTTCAGGTTTATGAACTATTCTAATTTAGCCACACAAACAAACATATGGCTCAGTCCGTTCAAAACATACAACCCCCTAAAAAGATTCACAGGACCCAAGATTCAGTTCCAAGGGTTAACAAAAAACAGAAGCTGAAGTATAATTTATGATTTTTATGTCATGAATTTCATGTGGGTTACCACACATTTTACCACATCACGTATATATTTTATGACATGATTATATATATATATATATTAATGAAGTTATCACACATTTTACGCCATGGGTTCCGGATTTTCCGATCTGAGCTTCCAACAGCCAAATCTTCCGGGCTGGCACTGTTCCGGTCCACCCAGCAATATGAAATGGGCCTTGCGGGACACGCTGAACTTCGGGACACTGTGGTGGAAAATCACTGGGAAATAGCAATTCCGTATGAATGAGTCAAAATGGTTGTAGAATGAATGGAAAAATCCTACTGATCAACTAGTTACACGGATGATTTTCCATATTGCAACCTTTGATTCGCAATATTTCAGGTGGAGCTCCAATTTCGGCTTCGGATTGGATGATACGGATCACAAGTTGAGTTGGTTATTACTCGCTGGCCAGTTGAGCTTGATTCACATTGGCTGAAATTTAGAAGCCCGTTAATGACCATTTTGGACATGGCAATATTCAGCAATTCTAAACATTCGCAAGTGACAAGTGGAGCGACCACAATAAAATCTGGCCATTGGCCATCTGGAAACACAGAGTCTGTGCGGATCCAAAAGCTATGCTCATGACGGGCCCCTACCATCAGGGTCGGAAAGCACATACCTGGCAACTGAAAAAGCTATTTTGTACGAGTGGATGGGCATCATAATCACTGTTCGATGCAGATAAGTACAGTTATCCTTGAACAGCCTTTGGCAGTCGAACACGGCAACAGGAAGTTTCAGTCTTCAACGATCAATTAGTTTGGAAATGCCTATCAACAGTAAATGGATCAGAAAATGGCTGGCTCTCAGATGCCAGATGTCGCTGGAAACTCAGCCCGAACTTCTGGCACACACTTAAGGACCTATATATTGGTTGCGGGGTTCAACTGAAACACCCACAATATGCCTTCACGGGGGATCATCCTCTCTTCATATTGGGATTGAAAACAGAAACTTGTTCATCCAGCAAACATGACTTAATATGTTGTTTCTTTCTTGTATGTAAATGCCACATGTTCTTGTTCCTGGACAAATCGCTCGTTTTTCCAAGCAAACATCCAGGGGGAAGAGGGCCATTACATCAGCCATGGCGGGCAGCAAACAAGTAAGTGCCACAGCAAGACCAACTCTCTTCCTTTGCTGGTCCTAAGCCAAAGCCAACGATGGACTGATGAGTCCAAGTCAGTATATATGCCTGTTTATTGTGCACTGTAGCAAATTTGATTTCACTTAGACATTCAAAGTGCCCCCCCCAAAAAAATGCAAGTACCAAAATCATCCAAAATCTCTTTTGCACACCATTTTCTGGGTACCAGCTGAGGGCCAGGCGATTCCGCCAGATCCTTGCGAAGGCTATCTGTTTGTCCCAAAATTCCACAGGAAACGATGAAGATCAATGGAAAAAAACAGCGTTTTTAATAGCTAAATCATCTACAAACAAGCATATGATCAGGGGATTTTCGGATTTTCTATGTTGGATTGCCAGATTTGGTATGAAAACTACTATTTATAGCCACATCTGCGCCAAGTTTGAATTAAATGTTGATTTTACTACTGCATATGGTGATTGTCCAAACATGTTGACTGGCAGAATTTGATGGTTCTCCGAGTTGCACTTCACCGTACAATAATGTTGGCTTATTGCTACCGATTCCTATAATTGGTCAGCCTGCGTATATGAAATAATTCCACCATCTTATCTCACTGGTGTTCAACTATCTTCAATAGTCTACCGGTGGCTCTCTAAATATACTTGCATAGGTTAGGATAGAACTGATATTGGAGCCCCTTTTAACTATGAAAAAAACGAAGTGACAACTAGCCAGTTTTGACCCTTCAACAATCAAACGTAGCAATGGACAATCTCCTATAAATGGAGGATTTAATGGGAACATCATAACTCCAATGTGGGGCCCCCGAACGATAGCTAAGTTGGTGCAAATAACATCCAATAACTATGGTTTGTAACACATAAAAACTTTAGGTCATGGGGGTTATAAACAAACTTATAACATCTTCGGGTCCCACATTGTATAAACAATGGGATTTTATCGAGCCACGTTTGACAGTGCCGTGCCTTGTTGCCCTGCATCACCTGAGCTCTTCCTTCTTGCCAGCGTCGCACCTGCCGAGCTAAGGGGGGATCTTCATGGAAAAAATGCCAATACTATTGACCAATCAAGGCTTGAACATGTTTCATCAGATTTCTCCCAAAATGTTTTTTAGGCGTTCAACATGATTAGCAAAATCATCGGAAGACCTGAAGACATGAAGACCTCATATTCTTCCTCGGTCACAATGGCTGTGTTCCCAGCCTCTCTGACTAAAGGAGGAGGTGGCCTGTTGCCATTCCTGAGCGGCACTTGAACGATGGTGGCACACCAAGAGCAGATCTAAGTCTAAATCCGACCTGAGGAATTCTAACAGGGGCAAAAATGCAATACTTTGCAATTCCATGTGTATATTATTTGGGAGGGAGCGGGGGGCGGTTTAGGCAACCGGGAAGGGTATCAGATCGAAATCCCGGTGAGAATGTGCCAAACACGTTGTTACCGGGTTGGGATGTGAACAACTAGCCTTACCCATATGCTTTGGTCATGACTACGCCCCGAACATTGTTCATTCTGTTGATATTTGGTATCGGAAGTGTCAGGGTGAAATAAGCCCCAAAAACTGAACTTTGATGATAATTTAATAAATGCCAACTTGGAAATACACAATGTTTGGGAAGATTCCAGCCACCAATCGTGTTCGGCTAGGTCGTGGTGAGGTCATCACTAGACCCTCCACATACCCATGAAAAATGGTAAAAGTTCAACAATAATACTGTAAGTATATTACCCCATATTCCCACTTGGAAGTGCAGTTCAAGTTGTACGTGATTAACTTATAGGGGTTTAGTTCACCATGGTGATGCCCATTTGCAACCTCAAACTCCCCACAACTGATTTTTTTCGAGTCGCAACATACTGGTGGGAGGCTCTGTTGAAACCGTTGACCTGAGGCACCAGATGGAGTGATCAAGTAGGTGAAATGAATGGGATATTTGACCACCATATCCCACTGACCATCAGTAACCATCAGTAACCATCAGTAACCATCATTAACAATTACTGTATATAATTTAGGACATGTTTTTTGAAGAATCACAGTTTAGTTGTCCATGTTTTCATGGCTGAATGGATTATTCAAATAGCTGTTTAACAGGAAACCAGAATTTTTAGACGTTCTATAACCACATGGAGGGGTTTTTATGCCGTGACTGATAAAACCATTCAACCATTCATCTGGCAGAATCAATCAATCCCCAGTGACCAAATCTGAGCAGTTCGTTGTACTGTTAAACTAACACTAACCCATCCATACATTGCTGGTTTATACCACCAATGTATGGTAAAATTGGGGATGTTTTACTATTGCTTGACAAAAAAAATAGAGCCTAACAGGGATGGTGATCCATGTCCCCTGTGTTCAGGAGATGCAAACTGAAACGATATCCAGGAAGACAACGGCGATTCAACATCATAGAGGAAACTGGGAAAAAACCTATCCATCTAAAATATCATAATCATGCACAGGATGGGCCCCCCAGTTTTGTTGTAAGTTGCTTTTAACATCATTATAACCCCCATTTTTCACTCTAGTTATATCATGTTCTATCTACCCGACACAATAGTTTTTTGCCACTTTTTTTCAGGCAACTGAGTACGCTGGGGATGATTCCCCGAATCTTGGCCGCCGGACGTTTGAGGACTGGAGCTCAAGGTGCTGGCCATGGTCGAGGTCGTAAGTCTCTGCTGCCTGACGATTCGTGACGGCACAGGAGCTACGTGTCATATACCATGTAAGCGCGTTGGGGATGTCAAGAAACATGAGGTGCTCATGGGATTTCATTGGATTTCATGAGATATGTAACGACAGATAGTGTAATATATTATATGATTATGTTTTATACTATATGATATTATACTACATTGTTACATATTATTATACTATATAATATTATACTATATTATGCAATAGTATATTCAATAGTTTATTAAATTGTATTAAATAAATAAATATATATGTATTAATATGTTTTACTAGAATATATTGTGTTCTGTTATATAGTGTATTACAAATTGACTTACATATTAAATCATATTACTGTAAATCAAATCAAATCATATTGGGTTATATATTATATATCAAATGATATTATACGTTATATGTTATGCGTTATATATATACATGATATATTATATTAAATAAGATTATATTAATCTGTATCAAAACAAATCATCATATCACAATATATCATATTAAATATTATTATATTACCCTGACCTTCCAACCACAAGGTTTAACGCTGTGGTTAGTCTAAACCCATGTCTTTACTTAACCCCATCATTTCATTGCCTATCACTACTGCCTTCCAAAGAGCAGAGGCAGAATCTTTGATTACATCAAGAATGCAGAATAAACAATACCGGCCTTTAAGGAGTTCCAAAAAGTTCCCTTTCCTTCAGCTTGCCAGTACTGAATCCTAAAGATAGCATCCATGACGCACATGCTCCACAGAAAAGGTAGCGCGCAATGTGTCACACCAGATCTTCGATTTTGCAAAAACTTTAGTCAAACCATCATTTGAATCTTTCCCCCCAGTTTTTTGATGGTGTTCACAGGTTTTTCACAGTCTTTTCGCGCACTTTTCACACTTCAAGATGGACCAAAAAATCAAAACAATGGTTTAGAAAAAAATGCTTTAGATCTTGCCATTTGCAACTGGACCTGACCTCTTGGTAGATTCGCGTTTTTCCTTTTATACTGGCTTTCAACCCACTCTTCATAGCAATACTTCTGCCCAAACTGCTTTGGGACTGAGCCAACACGGTTAGTCCATGTTAGTCCACTCTCTGGATGTGAAAGAGTTTGTGGCTGGATAGAACTGATTTTATGCTAGTCATTTTTAACGTTGTGGTTAGTAACCCCACAGTCCACAGTTAAACGTTGTGGAGCAAGGTCGGGGTTATATTATATTATAGTATATTTTAGTATATTATATCATATTAGAAGAACCGAGCCTCCCTTTTTCCCGACAGATTATTTGTTAGGAAACACAAATCAAGTAGAAATAGTTGGACAAAACAAAATCAACAAGTGTCCTGAAATATTGTTTTCAGACCTTGAAAAAGGGCTAGTTAGGACACTTGTTGAAAACATGTGTCAAGTCCTCTCACAAACACATGCATATAAACTCAGAGAGGAAAAACACACAAAAGCCAAGAAACCACAAAAGCCGCAAAAGCAATTGCACAGCACTTTATAAGTCATAAAAAACCAAGAGCCACTAAGGCCAAGAGACCCAAAGCCAGAAAAGCCACAAAAGCCAAAACACCAGGTTGACAAACAGAAAAAAAAAACATCAAACAAAACAACAAATACCACTCTCTATATATCTTTTGTTTATCAAAAACATAGCTTTCAGTTCATAGATCTGGTTTAGTTCTTCCTGCTTTGATATATGACCTATTTTTATGTGATTGCAATCTACCTAGCATGTTTGTCATTCCAAGCTGGAATGCTCTTCAGTCACTCATGTAAATTCCAATGTAAATATCTTATGTAAATTTTAGTAAAAAAAAATCCGATTTGATATAATATAGATACCTCATGTAAATCCCAATGTAGGTTCCCCTCAATAGATTTTGTTTATTTGAGTGGTCACTTGCCAAGGTTCTGGCCTTCCTTTGACATCTAGCTTAAACACAATACAGTTTAACAAAAATCATTTGTTTTTGACAAAGACTTTACTTGTGAACATTCTCAACAAACAGCATGTACAAAATCTTTAAGAATATGTTAGCAGATTATTTCCCATGTATCAATGCATGGAAACTAGATAGATAATAGAACAACAACAGGCATGTTTGATGCACTTCTGATGCGCTTTTCACTGTTCACACAATTTACTAATATTGGGTGAATTTGGCCAAAAAAAATCGCAATTTCTTCCCGATTAGTAAATTTACTAGTTTTGCAGACTTACGGCAACCCATGCAAAATCACAGCACATCTTTGTGATTCTGTAACAATACCACATGCAAAAAACTAACAAAACTACTAAAACTACTATAAGTTTAAATAAAAAACAACATCCAAAAATTTAGGTCGATTAGTAAATTAGTTTAGGTCGATTAGTAAAATATGCTAGGTCGTAATCAAAATTTGAACGTGTATTTAGGTGAATAGGTGAAAAAAAATGGTATTTGTTTTTCCTAAATAGCTCCAATTTGCGTAGATTTAGCTCCTCTGCCTCTACCTAAATTTACTAATTCTGGAGACTCAGGGTATCTTTC